ATTGAAGCAATGCCATCAGAAGCCTGTACCTGGTACAGTCCTTTTCCATGGGTCTCTGAGACAGTACCTTTTTGTTAAACACACCATCTGGCTCATAGCTGGTTGCCAGAGCTTTTAGGAAAGCATCAGAGTAAAACCACAACTATCTGTGGATAGCAAAACACATTCAACCACCACAGTTAAAGATCTGATGAGAGTTTGTTATCAAAATAATACAGTCGACAGGGAAATTTGATTGCTTCTGTGACATAGAACATTTTAACATAATAACTAAATATTATACCAGGACATATTATAGTGAGACTATCGACAAATTTCTAGGAACTTTATAAAATTTCTAAAATAGTAACATCCTGCCCATACAAATATAATCTAGAGAAGGTTAAATATCTCTTCTTTGACAGTGGTTCCCATGTAATGGGAATAATAATCAAATAAACCTAATTAGTTTAACATCTCTCCTTTTAGAAGGTGAGAGAACAAATCCTTTGAGGTTTTCCAGGGATCCTCTCAGAAAATTCAGTTAGTTTGAGGTCAGGAAGACTTTATTTAGAATTCAATTTTGGGAAGTTGTCCAAATTGTTAAATGCTTTAAATATTTAATTACATAGGATCATAGGTCATTGTAAAACAATACTTAGTTATCCATTTAACCAAAGTGGTGATAAAAAAATTTCAAAGGCAAAGGCAAATGAAAAATAAAGAACCTTACCTCTGAATAGTGAGAAGACTTTGATCTCTTAAGTAACAAAGGACATGATAAGGACAATATGAAGCACAGGAAATTATTTTGATAAGACACAACATATGCTACCTAGGCAGATTAAAAGGTAAAGAAAAATCTCTCAGTCTTATATTAAGACTAGACCAATAATCAAAAAAACTTTGTATTTTTTTTAACATTTTTTAAAGATTTTATTTTTATTTATTTATTTGATAGATCACAAGTAGGCAGAGAGGCAGGTAGGGGGTGGGGGGAAGGAAGCAGGCTCCCCACTGAGCAGAAAGCCCCAACAGGCTGATCCCAGGACCTTGAGATCATGACCTGAGCCAAAGGCAGAGGCTTAACCCACTGAGCCACCCAAGAGCCCCAAAACTTAGGTGTTGTTTTTTTAATTTTATTTATTTATTTGTTAGCACAAGGAGGAACGAGGGGAAGCAGCAGGCAGAAGGAGAAGAGGCTCCCGGCTGAGCTAGGAGCCTGATGTGGACTTGATCCCAAGATCCTGGGATCATGATTTGAGCCAAAGGCAAATGCTTAACTGACTGAGCCACCCAGACATCCCAAAACTTTTAATTTTACCAAGAAAAACAAACTCTAGGGACGCCTGGGTGGCTCAGTTGGTTGAGCGGCTGCCTTCAGCTCAGGTCATGATCCCAGCGTCCTTGGATCGAGTCCCACATCAGGCTCCTTGCTTGGCAGGGAGCCTGCTTCTCCCTCTGCCTCTACCTGTCACTCTGTCTGCCTGTGCTCGCTCTTGCTTCTCTCTCTATGTCAAATAAATAAATAAAATATTTAAAAAAAAAAAAAAAGAAAGAAAAACAAACTCTAGTTTTGTCAGTACACTATTGAGATTGAAGTTCAAGAGGAGAGGCTGGCACAGTGAGTGGAGTGTGTGAGTATTGATCTCAGGGCTGTGAATTCAAGCTGCACGTTGGGTTTAGAGATCACTTAAAAAATAATAATAAAATCTTTTTAAAAAATTAAAAAATAAAGTTCATTAAAAAAAAAAAAACCAGCTATAGGCACACCTGGGTAGCTCATTTAAGCGTCTGCCTTAGACTCAGGTCATGATCCCAGTGTCCTGGGATAGAGTGCCCTCAGCAGGAAGCCTGCTTCTCCCTCTCCCTCTGCATTCCCCCTCTTGTGCTCTCTGGCTCTCTATCTCTATCTCTCTGTCAAATAAATAAATAAAATCTTTAAAAACACAAAAACAAAAATCAAAAAACAAATAAAATATAATATGTATATAAATCCACTTAATCTTAGCCAGCTTTGACCTCACAACATAAAATTCCTTTTCTACAAACCTTCTACAACTCTCAATATCCATTCATGTTTTGTTCTCTTCTTTCTCTCTTTCACATTCTACTTTAAGACAAAATTACTCTTTTTTTATCTTAAGGAAACATACTCTTCATTCTTTACATACTTTTCCTATAAAAAAAATCCTACTTTTCTTTCGTTCCTTGTATACAGTTTTTTCGCTTTAATCTTGTTATTCATAGTCTTATTTTTTATATATTAATTATAAATTTTAACCATTAGTAACCCCTATTTTACAGAAAAACAACTGAGAACTATAATATACCAGTATTCTGTAGTAGATAAGCAAATTTTATGAATATACCATCTCATAAGCTACAGAGTTGTATGCTTCCTATAACTTTTTTTTTAAGATTTTATTTATTTGAGAGAGAAACTGAGAGAGAGAGAACCCTGGGATCATGACCCAAGCTGAAGGCAGACATTTAACCTCTGAGCCACCCAGGAGCCCCAAATACAACAAATATAAGAACATGTTTATTAAGAGATCCAAAATCCTTGGCCTCTCTGGACCATATAAAAATAAATAGCCAGGGGCGCCTGGGTGGCTCAGTGGTTAAAGCCTCTGCCTTCAGCTCAGGTCACGATCTCAGGGTCCTGGGATCGAGTCCCGCATCGGGCTCTCTGCTCGGCAGGAAGCCTGCCTCCTCCTCTCTCTCTGCCTGCCTCTCTGCCTACTCGTGATCTGTCTGTCAAATAAATAAAAAAAAAAAAAATCTTTAAAAAAAATAAATAAATAAATAAATAGCCAAAAGTATATAAACTTAAACTTTTGCTTAATAGTGAATGTTTTAAACTTTATCCTATTTAGAAATTAATTATATATTAAATGAATATCTAGGGTTACCTGGGTGGCTCCGTTGGTTAAGCGACTGCCTTTGGCTTAGGTCATGATCCCAGGGTCCTGGGATCAAGTCCCACATCAGAGTTCCCCTGCTCTGTGGGGACCCCCTGCTTCTCCCTCTGCCTCTGCCTACAACTCTCCCTGTTTGTGCTCTCCCTCTCTCTGTCAAATAAATAAATAAAATCTTCTAAAAATAAATAATAAATGTATGTCTATTATTTAACTTAGCTTACCATGACTCTAAGGTTCCAAGTTGTCGGATTTTGGAAATGATTTTTAGGTAGCATGTTATAAAACACAATTATTGTCATTATAAACAAAGTTTGTCAGAGTCCGTTTAGTGTCTGCTTTCAGCTCAGGTCATGATCCAGATCCAGCCCCATGTCAATCTCCCTACTCAGCGGGGAGGCTACTTCTCCCTCTTCCTCTGCTGCTTCTCCTGCTTGTGCTCTCTCTCTCTCTCTCCCTCTCAAGTAAATAAATAAAATCTTTAAAAAATAAAGTTTCTCAGAATGATTTAATTTACGATCTCTATAGTAGATTTAACTTATGTAGATTTAATTTACTATCTCATTAATCTTAATTTACTATCTCTATAATCTTAAACATCTAATAAATATAATATTAGGGGGGCTTCTCAGTGGTTCAGTCAGTTCCTTCAGCTTGGGTCTTGGTCCCAGGATCCTGGGATCGAGCCCCATATCGGGCTCCCTACTCAGTGGGAAACCTGCTTCTCCCTCTCCCACTCCCCCTGCTTGTGTTCCCTCTCTCACTGTGTCTCTCTCTGTCAAATAAATAAATAAAATCTTTAAAAAATAAAATGTAGGGCGCCTGGGTGGCTCAGTGGATTAAGCCTCTGCCTTCAGCTCAGGTCATGGTCTCAGGGTCCTGGGATTGAGTTCCACATCAGGCTCTCTGCTCAGCGGTGAGCCTGCTTCCCCCTCCCACCCCCTGCCTGCCTCTTTGCCTACTTGTGATCTCTCTCTGTCAAATAAATAAATAAAATCCTTAAAAATAATAAATAAAATGTATGTTTGCATTATAATTTAATGTTAACAACTCTGGAAGCATACCTAGTTTATTAAACCAACAATGCCAAACTAGTCTTATTTACCAAAGATTTATACAAGTTATGTGACAATGAAAAATATTTGAGTTGATTCCTATATTTCTGGAAGTTTTAGGAAGACTAAATTTATGTAAGAACTTATTTCTAAGACAGGATACAATTTTTTTTTAATTTTTACTTTTTTAATTTAATTCAAGTAATTAACATATATTATTTGTTTCAGGGGTACAGGTCTGTGATTCATCAGTCTTACACAATTCACAGCTCTCACCATAGCCCACACCCTCCCCAATGTCCATCACCCAGCCACCCCATCCCTCCCACCCCACTCCACTCCAGCAACCCTCAGTTTGCTTCCTGAGATTAAGAGTTTTTTATGGTTTGTCTCCCTCTCTGGTTTCATTTTGTTTCATTTTTTCCTTTCTTCCCCTATGGTCCTCTGCCTTGTTTCTTAAATACCGCATATCAGTGAGATCATACAATAATTGTCTTTATGATTGAGTTATTTCGCTTAGAATAATACCCTCCAGTTCCATCCATGTTGTTCCAAATGGCAAGATTATTTTTTTGATGGCTACATAATGTTCCATTGTGTGTGTGTGTGTGTGTGTGTGTTGTGTGTGTGTGTGTATACACACACACCACATCTTCTTTATCCATTCATCTGTCAGTGGACATCTGGGCTCTTTCCATAGTTTGGCTATTGTGGACATTGCTGCTATAAACATTCGGGTGCAGGTGCCCCTTCAGATCACTACATTTGTATCTTTGGGGTAAATACCCAGTAGTGCAATTGCTGGGTCGTAGGGAGGATGCAACTCTTATAAGGGATTTTATAAATTAATTTGGTAATACCGTCAGGAGATAGGGAAATATATATATGTATCAGACGTACACAAATGTACAGACAAATGCAAATACAGATCTCACAGTTTTCATATTAAAACTATCTGTGATTCAGACTGGCTACCTTGGTCAACAGAGTTATTTTTATTCTTGCTTGAAATGAAGCCTCACCTTAATGTCTCTGTTTATTTCAGATGATTTGGAAAAAGCCAAGGAAATGTTAACAAAGATGAGATACTTTTCAAATGTAGAAGAAAAGATCAAGTTAAAGAAGATTCCCTTTTAATGATTACTAGTTTAAAAGTTTCAAAAATAAAGTTCTTGTATATTTCTTTCCTGGCTTCTGTTAATTGAGACTAGGGATGCATTCACTATTTTAGTTTTTACTAATTTTACCATTTTAGTTAAACCTGTGGCTCAAGCATTAAGGGATGGGAGTTTATCACGCAAGAGGAAACAGAGTACCCGGAGCTTGGCCAGTCAGTTGTGTCATACTTGATACAGTATGCTCCCCATATATGCCAGTAAAAGAAGTGGGGATGGGGCCAACCTAGGGCTCTGGAGAAAGGATTGGCCAACCTTTGCTGCAAAGGGCCAGATAGTAAATGATTAGACCTTGTGGCCTATCCTGCCTCTTTTATAACTGCTTGACTCTGTCATAGTAGCACTTTGTTTACAAAACAGGCAGTGAGCTAGATTTGACCCAGGGATTCCCAACCTCTGCCCTAAAACCATATCTTCTTTCTAATGGCAGGCCCCTCACTAGTGCCCTTGTTAGTCTAATCTTCGGGGCATTCAGTTTGGTAACCATGCAAAGCTGCCTAAGGATCTCAGGCCTACATTTCAAAATGTAGATAATATTATCAAGAGTTAATCCTGTGGGGCCAAGATGGGTACAGAGATTACAAAAAAAAAAAAAAAAAAAAAAAGCTTAAAAAAAGGAAGAAAGAAATTTCAAGAAATAACAACGCTTGGAGAGCATTGCTTGTTTACAATGGAAAAATCAGAGCTCTGAACTAAGGTTCAACTCCTAGAGCTTAAAACTACTACAGCCCCTTTGCATCCTCCCTCAGCCTTGTCTAAGAATTTATATCTTGTGAATTCTGATCCTGTTCTACTCAGTTTGTTATCATTTTAGGATTTATGGATCTTCTGAAGGCAAATTAACCACAGCAACTGTCTGGCTTCATGGTATTTGGGAATATTAGTATAATCAGCAGCCCTCTTACATTTTACAAGGAGAATGCGTTCCTGGTCTAAAAACACACAGGGAGTCTTTAAGTGAACAATTACAATGCAAGCAAGTATGTCTTGATTAAATTGGGTGCCTCTGCAAAGAAATAGGAACTGAAATACTTCTGCAGACTATCTTTATTACTTCTACAGAAAGATGGTAGAGACCAAAACAATCTGACCACAAAAAGAAATCAGATAAACATTTTTGGAGGAACTTCAAAGAAACGTTTCCCCGACCTATTGCCATCAGCTGGAAAGGCCACGGGGCCTAGTTCTGATTTACGGGACAAATAAAAAGACTTTATTTCTGAGTCAGTGGAACTACTTTTGTTTTTTGTCTTTTTTTCCTTCACTCTTCCAAATTCTTTCCCTGTTAGGGTAAAGCCCAAGTTCAGCGGGACTTCTAAATTCAGGAACCCTTGCAAGTATTCCCCACCAATGCCCGATGGGGAGGTAGGCTCCTAGACTTCTGGAAAGTTGGCAGCCCTATTTGGACTAAAGGTTTGTTTTTGGTTTTGTTTTTTAAGTTTATTTATTTATGTAATCTCTACACCCAGTATGGGGCTGGAACTCATGATCAAGAGTCGCATGGTCTTCTGAATGAGCCAGCCAGCCAGGCGTCCCTGAATTAAAATTTATGACCAAGTGAAGCAAATTAAGCACTCACCCCACCCCAACATCCTTCCCAATATAGAAAAAATTTATCAGAACAACTAAGAGGTTTTGGGGTAGCCTGGGTGGCTCAGTAGGTAGTGTCTGCCTTTGGCTTGGGTCATGATCCCAACATCCTGGAACCAAGCCCCTCATTGGGCTCCCTGCTCAGCGGGGAGCCGGCTTCTCCCTCTCCCTTTGCCTGCCCCTCCCCTTGCTTGTGCACTCTGTCAAATAAATAAATAAAATCATTTTTTTTAAGATTTTATTTATTTATTTGACAGAGAGAGATCACAAGTAGACAGAGAGGCAGGCAGAGAGAGAGAGAGAGAGAGGGGGAAGCAGGTTCCCCGCTGAGCAGAGATCCCGATGTGGGACTCGATCCCAGGACCCCAAGATCACGACCCGAGCCGAAGGCAGCGGCTTAACCCACTGAGCCACCCAGGCGCCCAAATAAAATCATTAAAAAAAAAAAAAAAAAAGGGAACAGGAAAAGGAACGGGGTGCCTGGATGCCTCAATTGGTTAAGCGACTTCCTTCTACTCAGATCATGATCCTGGAGTCCCGGGATCAAGTCCCACATTGGGCTCCCTGCTCAGCATGGAGTCTGCTTCTCTCTCTGACTTCTCCCCTCTCAAGTTCTCTCATTCTCTCTCTCTCAAATAAATTTTTAAAAAAATCTTTAAGAGAACAAAAACAAATAAGAGGTTTTGACTAATTTGTGATTATTTCTTTGCAGACTCTGCTATTAGACAGATCCATTGTTACAGATTGGATGTGCACCACCTCCACCTGGAAAATTCATATGGTGAAGCTATAACCCACAGTGTAGCTATATTTGGAGGTCGTGCCTCTTAAGGAATTTATTAAGGTTAAACGAGGTCATAAGGGTAAGACTCTCATCAGGCGGGATTTGTGTCCTTATGAGAAAAGATACCAGGGAGCCCCCTCTCACTTTCTCCCTACACTCATGCACGGGGGTTGGGGGACAGGAGATAACCAGGAAGTGACTTCTAACCAAAAACTGAAACTGACCTTGGGCGCCTGGGTGACTCAGTAGGTCAGAGCGGCTGCCTTCGGCTCAGGTCATGATTCCGGGGTCCTGGGATTTCCCCAATTCAGGCTCCTTGCTCAGTGGGGAGCCTGCTTCTCTCTCTGCCTGCCACTCCCCCTGCTCTTGCTCTCTCTGTCTCTCTCTGTCTCTCTCTCTCTCTCTCTGACAAATAAATAAATAAATAGTTGAAAAAAAGAAAGAAAGAAAAGAAAAGAAACTGACCATGCTGGCATATTGATCTTGGATTTCCAGCCTCCACACCATGAGAAAATTGACTGCTATTGTGAAGTCACCCAGTCCATTGTATTTTATTCTGTGGGCCTGACCTGAGTGATAAACCTGGATTTGAATCCTAGCTCTGCCCCCTATGAGTGTGAGGCCACAATTATGCTAAGCTTCATTCGCTCATCTTCAACATGGTGATAACAGAACGTATTTTACCGGGTTGTTGAAGGATTAAATGAAATTAATTAAGCAAATTATTGGTCCAATGCATAGCACATAGTAAGCACTCAAATGTGATTTTTAAAATTATAATGATGGGGGCACCTGGGTGGCTCAGTGGGTTAAAGCCTCTGCCTTCAGCTCAGGTCATGATCTTAGGGTCCTGGGATCGAGCATCGCTTACGGCTCTCTGCTCTGCGAGAAGCCTGCTTCCTCCTCCCTCTCTCCCTGCCTCTCTGCCTACTTGTGATCTCTGTCTGTCAAATAAATAAATAAAATCTTTAAAAAAAATTATAATGATGACTTTTATTATTTTTACTTTGGCAACAAAGTCATGTCTTTCACAGCAGAGTAAACATGACCCTTTCAGCGGAGTTTCCAGCCCCTACTCTGTGTAAACAAGAGTTCAGCCCTGGGAGAGATGTAGAGAGCAATTAGAAGCTTCCCGTCTATTTGGGGAGAGGGATTTTATACCAATCATCAAAACAATAATAAAAGTTCCCATTTGCTGGGGAGACTGGCTGGCTCAGTTGGTGGAGCCTGTGAGTCTTGGTCTCAGGGTTGTGAGTTTGAGCTCCACACTGGGACAGATTACCTAAAAAAAGAAAAAAAAATCAGGAAAAAGAAGTTCCCATTTGCTCCATAGTTACTATGTGTATTACTTTGCCTAAATCCATCAAATTAAACCCAATTTAATTTCATTTTACAGATAAAGAAACAAGCTCCCAGAAGATAAGAGTCAAGAGCTAGGATTCAAACCCAGGTCCACCTAAGCCTACACTCTTAGGGAGGCTGAACCTATCAAATTAAGTCCCAGCCAAGAAGATTAAACAATTTGTAACTAGGGGCCATTTCCCAGGGCTTGCGTCTTGCCAAACGGAGGCTGGATTTGATGCAAGTCCCTGTTTCCAAGGTCTGCACATACAGCTTCACTGTGAACAGGGAGGGATCACTCCCAGGTGTAGTAACCAGGTAAGAAGGTTTCAGGGAAGAATCCGGACAGTCAGAGAGAAGCTGTGTCAGATGTCCCCAAGACCCACCCTAGATGCAGTGACTCTCTAGGAAATATCACTTGACTCCTACTCATGGTATGATATATTACAGTGGAATGATACCCAGACTAGTTCTTGGACACTGGTCACACGTATTCTCTCCCTAACGTGTGCCAGAATTCCAGACTCCCAGAAGGAAAACAGGTATTCAGCATACACTATATTGTTCCTACAAACAATTTAGGTATGATGGGCCAGTCTTATCAATTCTGAGAATAAGGAAACTCTCCCCAAATCCAGATTCCCAGTCAAGGGCTAAGCTTGTCCGCAGGCTTTTCTAAGGATATTCAAACTCAGGACTGCTATGTTAACTTTTTCCTGCACAGAAGCCAAGGCGGGGTTCCCATTATAGCAGAGGGAAGTATACAACCAATCATCTACCACTAGAGAGAAAGGCACCTCCATTGCTGACTGGCTTTTTCCTGTCTGTGTGGCTGCCACCAAGCCAAGAGGAAGATGCTGCTTTGCTCTGAGTCAAGATAGCAGTCATGCCCCCTAGTGTGTTCAACAGCAGGTGACCAATGCCTTGGATGTAAAGCTTTACTTTGACTAAGAACTTCTTTGGTTCTGTCACTTTATGTGACATGTTGAATATATCAGAGGTGGCTGGATGAAAAATTACAACACACCATTTTTCATTTCCAGGGGTCGCTGTCAAGGGGCAAAAGAATCATCAGAAACACATCATCAGACTCCCAAGGGTTAAGGGCTTCAGACAGAAAACAGCACATGGATGATGGGGGCAGGGGCGATGTAAGGGGATGGGGTGAGGTCTTCAAGGAAATGGAGTAGGTGCCCCATCTCAAGCTGCAGAGGAGATAGTACTAGACTCTTATTGTTGCCATGGAGACTGTGTTGACAGTCTCATGATTTTTTTCAA